CTGATGACAGAGTAATAGAAGTATTCTTGAAATAAGTGGCATTTGATGTGAGACTATATAGAATTTCATCTGTAGAGATGTAGAGGTGGGAAGGGCAAGACATTTTTAGCAGAGAATCAGATGATTGACTAGGTTTGTCTGGTGAATTATCAGTAGTCCAATTTGGTTGGTGTGTGGGTTGTGTGAGTTATAACAGAGAGAATGTGTTTGGATAATAACTTTGCAAGGACTGGTGGTGTTGGCCTCGAGGATAAAGCCACCTGCAGTGCCAGGTACCCCATATAGGTGCCAGTTCGTGTTCTGGCATTTTGTGTTTTGATCTAGTTTCCTGCTAATATGCATGGGAAATACAGCAGATGTTGGTTGAGCCCCTGCACTCATGTGGGAGACCCAGATGAAGCTCCCCGCTTCTGGGTTTGGCCAGCCCTTGCCATTAAGGCTGTCTGGGGAGTGAACTAGCAGTTGGAAGATCTTTGTTTCTGTGTCTCTCCCTTTCTGCAAATCTGATTTTCAAATAAATAATCTTTAAAAAAAGACAAAGAAATTTTTCAAGTGTAGAACTAATAAAAGCTTTGAAAGATAGCCTAAGGAGTTGATACTTGTTTAGGCATTAAAGTGATTAAACGTTAACTTTTTTGCTATGGAAAATGTTAAACCTACACAAAGGTAAACAGAACAGCAGAGTAACTTCTCACACAGCCATCACCCTGCTGCAGCAATCGTCACCTTACGGTCAATGTCGTTTAATCTCATGCCCCATTTACCCTGCATTATTTTGAAGCCCTCTCAGACATCCTATTACTTCATATATGTCTCTGAAAGAGAAGAATTCCTTACAGAAACATAACCACAAGCTATAGTCACACTGAAGAGAACTGTTTCTTTAATATGATTTAAGGGTTTTGAACAAGGTGCTATGAATAGTGTAATGCTCAACTCAGGGAAGAATATGAGTGCTCCCTCAAGCATAAAATATTGTGTTATTTAATTGAATGAAGTTGATGTTGCATAAAGAGCTACCTAAATGCAGATAACATAAATGAACCATTTTTTATGAGTGGTAAATGCTGTAAGTCACTTTGCTGACACCAAGTCATTTAGAATTTTTTTTTAAAGCTTGTAATTATGTCAGAGTCAGAGCTTGGAAATGATGTTTCTCAGAAGGGAAAATGGCATAGTCAATTTCCATTAAAATAAAAATGACAAAATAATTTTCTCAACCTTTTATAGTCTTTCATACAAATAACAGGGGTCCATTTTCTTCAATCTTTGTGCCTTTGACTGAAACTGCCCAAAACAGAAGGTTTGTTTTTTTTTTTAAAAAAAAGCCACTAAAGTTCAAGAAACATAATTAAATGAAAGGAAGAAAATAAATAGCTCAGCATTGCAATAAATTGTGCTCTTCTAAAGAAACTGCACCATATTGGAACAAATAATTTTCTGGGGGTGGTTGGAAAAATCCTGCTATCGTGGTGGAAATGCAATTATAGTGCATTGGATATTGATGAAGAGAAGGCCATTGAAACCCAGAAGCCTCTTTATTCCCCTGGGTGCCTTCATCGCTGTGACATTCACCACCTGGAGCCCTGTTTGTTCAGTTGCCCATCTGATAGAATATCCAATCTTCTCATTTCCTATGCTGTGGAAAATTATTTTATTCAGCATGTGACTGAATCCTTCTTTAGAGTGGAAATCGCTGATGTGTTTGAGACAGTGTATTTAGCAAAAAGCAGAGTCTTAGATTTCTTTTGCTATCATACTCTGTGTAAAACCTGTGAAAATTTTTAAAAGAAGATAATAGAAAGTCCATTTGGGATTGATAGAGACATGATTATTTTAACTTTTTTTGAAGACTCACTCCTTTCTCACAAGATGGGAGGAAAAAGAAAAGCCTCTATTAGTATGGCTGTTTCTACTGTTGAATTTTAGTTGCAATTCAGCCCTTCTGTGAGGTCACAAAGCCATTTAAGTCTGGGAGGACAATCACACATTGTATTGAGATGCTTTAATGAGTATCTTTTAGTTCAAGATGGCTACAAGATATAAATACTTTTAAAAAATATTTTGCACTTTTTCTGCAATATAGTAGTCCCAACGAGAAACAGGCTCCTCAGCACAGGAGGTAAACTTGGCGTATTTTACCTTCATTGATTTCCTTGTTCGAACAGGCTTTATTTTTGTTCTTTGGGTAAATGGCTTGTTCCCTATTATTCTGCCACTAACTACATTAAATTTGTGTAAACATGGTTCTCTTAGATTATAAGGCTCACACGTCTGTCTGCACAGCATGGAGATAGAGCAAACATTTCAACAGATTAGACTGCATAGATGTAAACTGTGGTAATATCCTCTTATCTGTAGTTTAGACTTTTAGCAGTCTTAACTGGTCTCTCTGGATGGTGGCCAGAATTTAGAAGGAAACAAAGAAAGACTTTAAGAGGTCAAAATAAATATCACAAAGACCATGGACTTTAGCCTGTAGGAGAAGCATCAGGAGAGACAGTCAGGTTCCAACTTTAATCAGTAACCTTAGTTTGTGCACAGTTCTAATAATCTTCATTATCTGGTTTGTTGGCCCTCAGCAAATTATATGAGAGGCCATTAGCAGCAAGTCCACTGAGAACCACGAGAAATAATGGCCAAAGATGTGAATGCAAGAATGGGATAGAATTTTAAAAGACATGTACAAAATCAGAGAAAAACTGCGCAGTCTGAAACCATAAATGAAGGGACAGATAGACATGTGATCTTCAAGAACTTTGAGTGTATCACTCCTTTAAGATAAAACTATCTTGCCTCTTACGATTCCAGCCTTAACTTATAAAAATTACACAATAGGCATAGATTTTTTTTTTTTTGGAAAGCAAACATGAAAGTAGGATCCATGTATAATCCAATAGTGCTCACAGTGCTGAATCCAAGTCACTGAAGGATAATTAGATTCTGTTTCTTCTCTGATTAAGAAGGAAGGAAAACAATTCCATTCTGGGAAATGATTAAAAACACTCAGGTGAATACCTAGGAATTAGATTGCTGCGTCATGTGGTAGGTTTAGATTTAACTTTATTAGAAGCTTGGTGCTTTTCAAAGTGACTATAGCAATTTGTTCTTCCACCATTATTGCTTTAAGTTTGCTGTTGATCTGTACCTTTGTCAACACTTTCTAAAAATTGCAATCTTCTGATGATAAAGGATATCAGAATATTATTTTTTTCTTTTTCCGTTTTTTTATTATATTTTTGACAATCGTTACATAGTTAATTAGTGTAAAAAGGTTCAAGCGCTATAGGAAAGTGGGTAGGACTATTATTTCCACATTGTTTCCTTCATGTATCTGAAGTTAAGGGGGATTTTTAAGGGAGAAGCCCCACCCATTCTCCCACCCACCCCAGGTCCCTGATGTGGAACATGCTCCGAGATTCTTGCTCAAGTGGTTTTGATTGTTCAACAATTATGAATTGCTGCCAATCTAGCTACTCCAAGCACGATGAGGTCGTTGAAGAATCCACTGATTGACATAGTCCATCTTAGACTCTCTGTTTGCCCAGGTTTTTACTGCCAACATGTGGCTGAGGTGGTTGATTGACTTGCTTTGTCCTCTGTCTTTTCATGGTTAGGGTTCTGAGTCTGGCAGTTAGATTGGGGAGATCCCCAAAGAGACTTTGAGGTATTCCCAGACCAGATTCTTGTATATACTAGCAAGTACAGGGCCCGGCACAGTCCATGGCCCTAATCAGCTGGTGGTTGCAATTGCTGGGTTGGTTCTGTTAGCAGTGCTGTCTTCCATGTGAACCAGTGGGTGGTTGCAATCCATCCTGGTTCTGCATAGCACACACTTGGCCCTCACGTAACCAGTGGGAGCTGCAGCCTAATTGGAACAACCCACAATAACCCCCACCAGGTTCGCCCCCTATCCTGGTTTGCCAGTATGTGCGGTAGACAAGTTCAGTCTGTCCCACATCCCATTCAGCTCTCATACATGTCAATGGACATTGAAACCTAATGCAATCCAACAAGCCGACTATCCAGCCCACATACATGCTGTTGGGTGCCTTTCTGTTTAGCTACCCCAGCCCCTGTCCTGGTTTTCTTGCCCTCCAGTGGGGGTGGTAACCCAAGAGGGAGGAGCCCACTATTTCCCTTCTAGGCCACTCCCATTCCCGGATCATGCACTCTCCAGGTGGTTCTGCAGTTTAACTTGACAGAATTAGCCCCCTGTGCCAGCTTCTGCCAGTTGATACTGTGGCAAAGCCCGACCAACTCTCACCCACTCTGATTTATGCTTGAACTAGTAGGAACAATCAGCCCAGCCTGGCTTTTCCCTGATCTAGCTTACATGATCTAGCACACATGTATTGTAGCCCTGCCTAGTCTGGTCTGCCCCCATCCCAGCTCACCCTTCCCAGTGAGAGTAGCCGTCCAGCAGGGGAGTAACCCCATATTCCCCCTGCCGGCTCCGCCCGCTCCCTTCCTTGTTCTCACATGTGCTGGTTGGGTACTGCAGTCCCTTCCAGTACAGGCAACCTCACCTCGGCATTCCATAATGTGCACTGGTTTTTGTCACGACCAATCTTGGCTCAACCAGCACTCTGTTCAGGTGCTTGGATTCACCAGTGGTTGACGTGAACTGATTCAGCCTGGTCTGCCCCCAGCCCATGCCAAATGTATGCCAGTGATAAACTTTCCATGGCCTGTTCTGGGCTGTTTCCTTTCATGCTTCTTACACTTACCTGCAGGGTCTGTGTCCTGCCAGAGGAGTTGCCCAGGCTCCTCCATCAGAATCTCTCCCAATGTCAGATTTCACATATACCAGGGGGTCCATGAGCCAGCCCTACTCAGTTCACCTATTGTCCTAGCAGGAACAGTGGTTTTTCCTAACTGGCCTTAAACCCAATCTGGTTCTTACTGTTGGATGTTTCAGCACAGCCATTGCTCATCCATACCCACATACAGCTCACACATGGCTTAGTAGGGGCTGAGACCTAGCCTAGTCTGTCCCACATCTACTCTGGTCCTCCAGAACACCAGACGGTGTTGGAGTCTAGCCTGTCTTGGTGTGTCCAGTCCCAGTCCACACTTGTGCTAAGTGAGACTACAGCCGTATCCTCATCAGAACGCAGCCACCATTCCAGTCCTGTGCTCCTTGGTGGGAACCTCAATCCAGCTAGGGTGTCCCCTTAGCTCCCCAACCGGGCCTGTTCCCAGCCATAGATCACGCACATGCCATTGGTTGCTCTGACTCAGCTTGGCAAAGTCCTTCACCTTTCCTGGCCCTTGCCTTAGACACTGTGGCTCAGCGTCCTGGCTCACGCAAACCAGTCGGTGTAGGAGCCTAGCTCGGCATGACCTGTGTTCCATCCTGATTTCTAATTTTGTTTGTGGGCTAATGTTTGTTCAGTCCTGCCGGGTCCACCCCATTCCATTACTAATCCATACACTAGCCAGCCATTGGAACTATTTTGCACAGCTTGTCCGATCCCCAGGTAGACCATGTGTTCACCAGTGGGAGCTATGACCCGCCAGGGGAGTTTCCCAAGTTCTTCCACTTAATCTTAACACTCCCAGACCCAGTTCTCATACATGCCAATGGGTTTTAGGCCAGGTCCTGGCGAAGTCTGGCCATCTATTTGGCCTTGTATGAGCTGGTGAACGTTGCAGCCCGACCCACCCCACACCCTATTCAGGATGCACATTTGGGTGCTGCTGCCTTGACCAGTCCAGATTGTTGTGGGTTCCTTTACCTGTGAGTGATGGCAGGCTCCTTGGTCACACCTAGTTTACTCCATAACCCCTTCAACTCTTGAGCTAACCAGTGGGGCTAGTATTTTCATGGGGTTTGGCTCACACATCCCCCCACAGAATCTACCCCCAGATATGGTTCTCTCGTGTGCTACTTAATTTCATGGCCCTGCCTAATATGACCCATTTCCTGATCCATCAACATGTCAGGTAACAGGATATGATCCTGCTGGACAAGCCCCGAGCCTTAGCTTTTGCATGGACTGGTGTTCGGTGATTACAAGTACTACACAGTATTTACAGGAGTTTGGTATATCAGTCTAATCCATAAAGATCATCTGATCCCTCTCCTCCAGCCTACTAGGTCTCATTACCCTCACTAACCTTCAAAGGAAAAGTTACTCTGTCTTTGGGAGTCTTTAGGATTGATTGACATCCCAGAAGTACAGTGGGCTTGACATGGAGATATCTAAGCAGCAATTCAAAGCCCAAAACCCCAGAGCAGGCCGCCGGTTGCCAGCAAGAGGAGCCTGGCGCCAAATGACTCACTGGCTGCCCAGGGACAGGTCACTGCATGGACGCTGTGGCTGGAATGAGAGCTCCTAGCATGGAGATGATCCCAGCCTGGCACCCTCCCAGAATATTATTTTAACTGTAATTTTCATCTCCCTAACAGCTAGTGTTGTTGAACATCTTTTCATGTGCTTGTTTGCCATCTGTGTCTTGTTGAGTGAAATATCCCTTCAGATATTTTAACTTTTTTTTTTTTTTTTTTTTTTTTTTTTTTTTTTTACAGTTGGGTCACTTGATTTCCTTTTACTGGGTTTGCAATGTTCTTTACAGGATTTTGGTAAAAGCCTTTTACCAGATAAGTAAATGAAAATTTATGTTCATACAAAAAGCCATATAGAAGTGTTTATAGTGGCTTTATTCATAATTGTTTAAAGCTGGAAACCATCCAAACATCCTGCAACTGATGACTGATTAAAAAATTATAATATATCCATAAAATTGAATACTCCTCCACAGTAAAAATGAATGAACACCTGATTAATAGCACAGGTGAGACTCAAAAGTTTTATGCCAATCTAAAGAAGTGAGGATTAGAATGTTACATGTTGTGTGATTCCACCACTTGCCAGGAGCTATGGGGCAGGAACTGGATTCACTACAAAGGGGCAGAATGAGGCAATGAATGGTTGTACATCTTTATTTTGTTGATGGTTAACATGAAACTAGCATAGCAGCAGTTGAGTTTTATGTAAGTAAACTATGCCTCTGCTTTCAAGAAAGGAAAAAAATAGCAGTTAGTGGAAGGATAATGAAAGAAAGTAAACCTTGCATTGTGGTCCTGCTGTGGCTGCATTTCAGAGGGCATTCAACGACCTTGGACATTCAGTTAGTCTTTAGGATCCTATAGGAAGTTTAGCCCTGTTTTCAGGATGTCACAAAGGGAAAAAATGCAGTCTTGTGGATTTTAACTTGTGGAGAATTGTTAATGCAGCAGCCTTAGGCCTTTGGTGTGTGTGTCTGAGAGCCATCAAGCGAGAACGAGAGAGCAAGAGAGCGAGAGAGTGAGAGAGAGAAAGGAGAAATGAGCTGGATCTTCTTTTACTGGTGGTCATGGTCATTCACTCAAAACTAGTTTTCTCTTCACTCTTCTTCCACACGAGTGGAAGGGAACCAAAGTATTGTTGCCTTCCTGGGAATGCAATAACAAAAAGCTGGAGTCAGAGCCAGGAGCATCTAAGCATGTAAGGCATCTTAGCTGGTGCCTTAATTGCTAGGCCAAATGCCAGGCCCCATGAAATTCTCAAAGATCTTTCATGTGCATGATTTTCAAAGTTTTTTTTGTTTGTTTGTTTGTTTGTTTTTGTTGCATCAAAACAAAGTTATCTTTTAATTCAGTTTTCCACGGACTTTTTGAAGTTCCTTTCAGTACCCCTTCCTCACAGCTTATTTCCTGTGAGCTTTCCTATTTAGGTGAATTTGTTCCATTCTTGCCATCTGATATGCCTTACCTTCTTTGATTCCCCTTACCTTTGATGGGTAGAATTGAACCTATATTTTCAAGATATTGGAAGATGGGCCTGGACTTCTGGCTTTGAGGCAATGTAAAGTAGTAGTTAGGAGCATTGAGGCACCACATTTGCTGATGTTTGAATGCCAGCTCCTCTGTATATTGGCTGTGTGGTATGCACAAGTTAGTTCTAAGTTTCAGTTTCTTCATGTATAAAATTCATATAAAAGTATCACCTACCTGGTTTTGTTATGAGGAGTATGAATGACTTCGTTATTTAAAGAGCATGGTACATAGGTAGCCCCATGTAATTATGGACTGCCTTTGTTTTGGAAGCAACCTTAATACTTCCAACTGATTCTAATTACATGAGCTATATATATATATATATATATATTAAGAGATATGTTGCTTCCAACGTATCTCCTATTACCATTAGGAGAGGCAGGAAATATGTGGTGGTATTTATATTCTTCCCATTCAGGTATGTCAGAGAGATCAGACATACTGGTGCTATAATGAATTCTAACCCAACTCTGAAAATGCATCATTTCAACCTTCCTAATAGGACTCTCAAAGGGCTGCATAGATAGGGTGGGGGAAGGGTGAGCCAGCTGCTGTATGGACTTCTCTGAAGAGAGCCCTTATAGCTGGCCTCTTCCACTAGCAGCCATTTGATATTCTAGGCAGCTGCCTGACACTGCACTTTGGTGCCCCTCAGTGTAATTAACAGGCATGCATACAACTGCCTTGTCAAACACTTGGTCGGGCTTGGCAATGGATGCTACAGAGGCAGGGTGGTAGCAGGCATCACTCACCTTGGGCAATGAGCCTTCCTAACAGCCTGGTAATAACACTGCAGCTGTATCTTGAGCACATATGTAAATAGTGTGCCTGCTGATTTCTTAGAGGACTGTTGAAATCCCTCAATTCATAATGAATTCCAATTCTCTAGCTTATATGATATTATCACTAGCTTGAACACCTCCTGGATGTTATCAGAGTCAGCTGTGATTCTTTAGGTTATTTTTTTTTTCCTTTTAATTCTCCTCTAGACCACACAAAGAGTCTTCCATTTCTGCTGCCGCTGGCCAGCTAAATCTTGTTCAGGGAAGGAAGTGTTAGAGGAACTATGATGCCAAGGTAAAAACACAGGTCTGGGAATCAGCAGACCTCCTTTGTTGTTCTGGCTCATTAGTTCTGTGACCTTGAGAAAGACATTTACTCTCTACAGACCTTTGGAGAAATACAAAACAAATAGATATATAGGTAACATATATTCTCATAGATGAACTGTATAATGGAGATTAGTATACCATGAAGTGAAGATACGTTGTAGTACACATCTCTACCCCCAAATAAAAGGAGGACTTCCAATGATGAACAGTTAAATATACCTTGACAATATGATACTAAGTTTTCTATGTTTGTCAAAATCTACAGTGTCATAATACACTTAAATAGCAGAATACGACACTTGTGACTGCTGCTGAGGGACTATACTATTGTAATAATATGGGGGGAACCTGGGAATGTGGAGAAAGGTGAGGTGGAAGGGGGATTCCCCATACTTATAAAACTGTATCATGAGAAAAAAAATACAAATGAAATGGTTAAGCTGGAAACGAACTTTCTGGGGATATTTGTGGCCCTGCGAGTTAAAACTCAAGCCATTTTACGGACTCTGAGTCTGGATGCAATGGACTTTTCCCAAACTCCCCTCATTGCCATATAACCAAGTCTTATGCAGAATAAACTTCTAGTTTACCCTAATTTGCAGTTTTCTTGAAGTTACTATGTAATCTGAACATGGAATTGTATTCAGAATGCTACAGTTGTTTTTGGTAAACAACTCAAACACGACAAAATGGAACCCAAGGATTAATTTCAAGCACACACTTGTCATTCCACTTGGGCTACATGCCTACCCTGCATTTGCTCACCTAGGTGGCCTTTTTCATGCTTTATCTGTCAGTTGTCTGTCTAGTGTGAGAAATACTTGGTTTTAGCTGGACTCATCTAACTTATTTCTTTTTAGGAGATATGTCCTTTCACACCTAGGGCTTTATACCAGAGAGAGAGAGAGAGAGAGAGAGAGAGAGAGAGAGAGAGAGATTGGCCTCTGGAAATATTACTGGATGCCTTGTGCATGTACTTACCCATTTGCAGTCAGGGAGAGGAGAACACCAGGGGTAGTTCAGTTGGGGTTGGTGGTGGCTAACAAGAAGACCAGCAGGCTTAAGGTGTGTGTGGTTAGGAGGCTGAGTCTCCATAGACCACAGTATTGCTGATTATGCCTTGAGAAATGGGTATTCTTTGAGAATAAGAACCAATTGTGTGCATCTCTCCACAGTTATGCATTCAGTGATGACCAGTTTGTACCTTTTGAAATTGGCTATGTGTAAATGACCAATGTCACTGTGTAAACCAGTAAAGACTACGAATCAGGGGTACTTGTATTTTAGAGTGATTTTCCACCTACATGTTTTGAGTTCATGGGCTCTTTTCTCTGTCATTTCCAATTTGCTCTTAATCCTTTAGAATACATTTTTAATTTTGGTTGCCTTGCTTTTTAATTAAAATGTTAAATTTAGAAAGTATGCCTTTTATTTCTTTTTTTCAGGTTTAACACTGTCTTAATTATTACAAGAATGTTTGCAATTGAGTGAAAGAGCATTTTTCTATTTTAAACTGTACCATTTTGATCCTGGCATCTGTTGATTGTATATTCTCATGTAAATAGAGATTTTCCAGGTTATTCCTATGCCAAGTAGTTTTTCAGTTGCATTGTGGATTTTGAATATTATGTTTTAAGACTTTGGGTTTTGTGTAAGTCCTATGAAAAAAACGATATTTTACTAGGTAATTTTGACCCAGGTATATTTGGGCTGCAATTTGCAACCCATTTCTGTAGGTTGTGATTGCAATTTTAGTTTTAAAATGTTGGTTATTTGGATCTGTGCCACATGAATGCCTCCAATGATCAGATTGGGAATTGGGTACTGACCTATGTTGTGGTTCAGTTCTAGAAGCTTTTGGTATAGTCATTAGGATTAGATTGATTAGGATCAGATTCATGCATGCACAGCTTGGAGATGGTTGCCTTCCTGAGCGCCTACCTCTCTGCAAAATCTTCTGAATATTTTGTGGTTTCCTGGGGCTCCTTTTTGTGGTCTATTAGCCTGAAATCAGGGGTTTTAGTTCTGGACTATGCACATTTGTGAGTATGCTCATTTCCAATGAGAGACAAAAAATAGCAACAGGGAACACTGGGGAAGTTGCCTGCCCTTTTGTTATCACAGTTCCACCTTAAAAAAAGAAAGTAGTTCTTCTTGCTTTACCTGAGCCAGTATAAAACAGCTTCTTCTGGAGCTTCCTCTGTTTGAATTAATGCTCACTATCAAGTTTCAGGCTGGGGAATATTACTGGGGGTGAGCTGGGGGATGTGATAAACTCACCATCAATTCGGTGAAGCGTTGATTTTTGTTTTTTTTTCTCCCAATCTGCTGGGTCTATTAACATTCAGCATCTTTGAATAGCTGACCCATGAGTTTGCTCCAGATTCTATAGCTGATTCAGTGGGGTAGAGTTCACTGACTTCATCTTGTCTTCAGCCAAGGGCGTAGTATTATTTTCTTTCCCCTGGAGATCCAGCTGTTAAACACGTATCAGCCCACTACTAGCTGATTCTACCAAGTATAGCTCTTCATGGATACTTTCACTTTACTTGCATGGGGGCCTTCTGTTTTCTGACTCTGAGCAATAGTTTGTCAGTCTGAGCCCCAGAATGGGAATTATAATAGTGTATACCTTCCTGGGTTGTACAAACAGGTGAAATAATGCTATATTTAGAACAATGCTGAGAATATACTGTGTGCTCAGTAAGTGGAAGCTATAATTATTTTTTGAAAAGAATCTTGGTGTGTCTCAGTATCTTTCATGAGTGGAGAGGTATATATTTAGCTAACTCATACCCTAGAGCTGGGAAGAACTTATGGCATAGTGGTTTAGCACTTCCCCTTTGGAGCCAGCTGGGAAATCTCCCGCTCAGATACTTCCTAGCTATGTACTATTGGGTAAGTCACTTCACCTTTCTGTGACAGCAGGAAAGTGGGAACAGTGATAATTTATACTTCATGGGATTATTAGAAAGCTTAATACATGAAAAATACACGTCAATAACTGTGAGCTAGTAATAACATGTGTCACCTTGATTTAATGTCAACTGCGAGCT